AGCCTGGCCAACATGGTGAAACTCCATCTATACTAAAAATACAAAAATTAGCTGGGTGTGGTGGCACGCACCTGTAATCACAGCTACTTAGGAGGCTGAAGCAGGAGAATCGCTTGAACCCGGGAGACGGATGATGCAGTGAACCAAGATCGAGCCACTGCACTCTAGCCTGGGTGACAGAGCGAGACTCTATCTCAAAAGAATAATAATAATATTAATAAATAAAAATAATTTTATAAAGTGAAAGAGTTTTATGCCCCCATGTTTCAGGAATTGTTTGGTGGTCCACGTGGTTCTAGGCTGGCCTCTCCTGTGGCCCCTTAGTCATCCCTAGGGTATGGGGGAATTAGCCAACCCATCATGCAGTACTTCTTGGCCATGGACTGCCACATCTGCTGGGAACCTGGGTGGTTTCTGAGATTGCCTGGGCTGCCTGTTCTTTGGTTTCATCATAACTCTGTCCAGCCTGTGGACAGACAGGTTCCTTGAGAAAACTCTGGCCGGGTGTGGTGGCTCATGCCTGTAAACCCAGCACTTTGGGAGGCTGAGGCAGGCGGATCACAAGGTCAGGAGTTACAGACCAGCCTGGCCAACATGGTGAAACCCCGTCTTTACTAAAAATACAAAAATTAGCCCCACATGGTGGCAGGTGCCTGTAATCCCAGCTACTTGGGAGGGAGACTGAGGCAGGAGAATTGCTTGAACCTAGGAAGCGGAGGTTGCAGTGAGCCAAGATCGCGCCGTTGCATACCAGCCTGGGCGACGAGAGCAAGACCCCGTCTCAAAAAAGAAAAGAAAAGAAAAGAAACTTCCAAGCTGCTCTGCATTGCCTTGCTCTTCACCTGTCTGCTTCTGAGAAGCCCTCGGCCCAGTCCTGGGTGGGACTCCCACTCCCTCCCTATTGTCCTGGACTAGCTTTTCTATCAGCCTTATGTCGTGTAGAGAGAAATAGTCTTAGAAGATGGGAGAGCCCTCACTGTTATTCCCAAAGCTGCCTGGAGGAAAAGCCAGAGCAACCTGGGAACTGGGACTGGGGCTGGCTCTGGGCAGCAGAGACCCGAGAGACCTGGAGCTTGAGCTTCACTGCTACACCTTTGCTGATTTCTCTCACTCAGGGAACACACAGACCCTCATCCAGGCTTTTGCAGCTATACAGCAAGGCAGAGAAGCCACCTGTGGGGTCCCGTGGCCCACTATGCACACACATAGTAGACACTTCTGGCCATGATTGGTCAGATTGAGCCACTCTAGCTAGCTGAGACCTGTCATCCTGGGTCAAAGTTCTGACAGTTGACACAAAGCAGGGGGTCAGGGAGCCAGAAAAAAAAAAAAAGTTCCAGGTGTGGTGGCTCTTGCCTTTAATCCCAGCACTAAAGTGGGTGGATAACCTGAGGTCAGAGTTCAAGACCAGCCTGGTCAACATGGCAAAACCCCATCTCTACTAAAAATACAAAGCTTAGCCAGGCTGGTGGTGCATGCCTGTAGTCCCAGCCACTCAGGAGGCCGAGGCATGAGAATCACTTGAACCCGGGAGGTGGAGGTTGCAGTAAGCCGAGATTGTGCCACTGCACTCCAGCCTGGGCAACAGAGCAAGACTCTGTTTCAAAAGAAAAAAAAGGTATTCTGGAGATTGAAGTTCAGAAGTTCAGGGTTCATCTCGACTTTGGGCAGCCAAGCAAGAACTAAAGTATACCAAGACGTTGAAGGTTGATACCTTTTTATTTATCCATTCATTCACTCACCTATGTACCAAAGAGCTCCTGAGCCTCTCCTCTATAAAGGGGGCACTGCCAGGAGTTGTAGAGGATGTGATAGCAAAGATAGCAAATACCTTTTCTCTTTGCTGTGACAACGCTGGGGCAAGGATTATTTGCATCATTAATTGCAGCAGGAGGCAGGACAAAATGTGTGTAGGAATATAGGAATACATGGCAGTAAGTAACGCGGTGCCTAGCCGCATGTCTCACTGTTGATATGGTCAGGCTAGGTACATCCCCTCAGGGAAGAACTTCTGCCTTAGGGGCACACACCCTATCTTTTTTTCCTCTTCCTGCCAATTCACAGGTAAGAACATTCAGTCCCAGGGAACTATGTCATCTCTCTACTTCTCATAACTGAAAAGCAATGCCAATTATGTATGAGGTACAGGAGACACAATTCCCCCTCTTTTTAAAAACGTTTAACAGCTTTATTAAGGTATAAATGACATAAAAACTGCATGTAGCTAAAGCATGCAATTTGACCTACATGTATCTCTACACCCTTGAAACCATCACCACTGGAAAGGTGCATGTCTCCTCAGGAAGTGCGGCAAGTCTAGGCCCTTTGCCAGAGTTGCTCCCAGATTGTTTTCAAGTTGGGCCTGCTTTCATAGCTTAGCTAGCTGAAGGGTGACAGCGTTAGGCTCATGACCCAAATCTTAAACCCACACATTCCATTTTAACATTGTTACCTGTGATCATCAGCCAGTACAGCCCATCCCATGTACCAGGTGGAGGCATCAATAAGCTGGTCTATAGCAGCTTTAATCATAGCTGGGGAACCAGAAGCTAAGGAATGCTAGACTCCTTTGTAAACACTTTAAGCAGGGGGTACTTAGCCTGGACTCTATGTGCTTCTCACCCACCTCTTCTAAGGGGGATTCTGGCCAAGTCCTGGAACCCACTGCAGTCCATCTGGTGATTGACAGGTATGTGGATGGATTGGCAGGCTGGGACCCAATCTATGTTTGCCCTTGTGTTCAGTTTTGAGACCTAGTGCCTTTCCTGATCCTGCTTACAGACCCCCAGTGGCCAGTAGGAAAGAAGTGTTAATGCATATTTGCTTTTGGAGGGCCCAAAGCCAGGCCCAGAGAGTTGTCAAGGGCTGTCATTGGGTGGATGGCAGAGTTAACCAAGGAGTTACATACCTGACTAGGCTAAGGACAGGCTGGACCAAGTGGAGAGGGTGGGGCTAAGGGAGCCTGAGAGATGCTCTGGGGCCTATCTCAAAATGGGCACTACAGTCACCCTGTCCCCTGCAGAGATTGACCTGGTTTTAGGTCGCACCCAACCTTGCCAGCCCAGGAGTCCTTAGCAGCCTGATATTGGGAGACCTGTCCTGGGGTCTGCAACTCCAGAACTCACTACAGAAGCCCATGTGGATTGCTAGTCTAGCTCAGCCATATGGGTCCCCAACCCTCACCTCATGATAGTCCTGTTGAGAAACCACTGCTGACCCTTTGTTTGTGTTTTCATCTTTTCTACTATAAAAGACATGCTAGCTGGGAAATAGAGCCCATCATACTCAAGAGTGGCAGGAGCCAGGACCTGGCCCCTGAAACTTGGCCTCACACACAGAGGCTGCACCCTGTCATCAATTCCCTCAACTTTGTCTCTCCCTCCACTCCCAGTCCTAGATTTAGCAGCCATGTGTGAGTGGGGGCCACTGCAGGGATACTCACCCACCTACCAGAGAGATGGCCTGTGGGTGCTGGCCTGTGGAGGTTGGAGGCTGTGGCAGCCTGGGCACTCAGGCTGTGGTGCTCCCATGTTCTTGACTCCTGCTAGTCTGGGCTGCCTCCTGATTAAGGGTTGGATGCTCCAATTCTTCCCTGGGTTGGGGATTGCCACCCTACTCCCAGCCCATCCAGGTCCGTGCTTATTCCGAAGCGGAGAGCCAGCAGCGTGCCTGCTGTGGGGGTTCTCCGTGTCCAGCCTGAGTCTTGCCTGCCAACCCCTCTGAGAGGTGTCCGGAGGCATGGAGAAGCAGGCTTGTTTTTCCCTGTCACTGGCCCGGAAGAGATG